GTGTGTGTGTGTGTGTGTGTGGTTTGTATACCCTCTTGAGCCACGCCTGTAACAGTCTCATGTGTAGTCAGGCAGGGACCATACAGAAAAAACACATTAAACACATTAAAAAGTAATAGTTTTTCTGTCTCCACTACATACATACACACACACACACACACACACACACACACACACAACTTTCAGACATCAAGAATCCTAAACTGCCTACTAGTATAAGCTATGGGTTTATGCATGATATACTATGTAAAATAAAACAGTTTCTCTGTGTTCAGATCAACAGGAAATCATCTTACTACAGAGCTCTAATCCATCAGTAAAAATTACAGTTATTGTTCCTGTGAATTTATTTGAATCATGATAAAAATATACTTAAACTTTTTAAATTAGGCTGCATATGTAGCCAGCACTTAGGTAAAAAAGGTAAATATACATTTTTCTTTCCAAAGTAACTGCAAATTATTTTGTTCAGCTGTTGACAGAGAGATAGTGAACTTTAAGGCCCCTTTTGGATAAATCAGCCTCTTCTGGGAGAACATGACCTTTAAACCTCATAATTTAAGGCTTGAGCCAATTTCCATTGGAGTTAATGTGAGTCTTTAACTTGAATTCAATGGGAGTTGGATTGGGTCCTTAATGAATTAATGTTGTACTTGATATTTATTTTAAATGGAAGCAATCTGAAATTTAAATGCCAATTTTTCATATTTAGGCACATACAGTTTTGCACATATATAGCTATGTACTGAAAATTATGTGCACAAATATATGCTGCATGTGCATAGAGTATTTGCATGTTCACAGTGCCAATTAGGAGCCTATGTAGCCATTTGTACAAACACATCTGGTATTTGTGCCTTCAATGAATTGCAAGCAGGCATGTCTATGTCCAGCTTTGAAAATGTGTCCCTAAAACCAGTAAATGTGTCTAGAAACCAGTATTTGAAATTCCAACATAATGTGATGCCTCTCAGAAGGCCATGACAGCAGGGGTTAAACCCGGTACCTTTGACTCTAAAAGCATAAGCCTCTACTGCCTGAGTTAAAAGATCTGAATTTCCTAGGCAAGGCTAGATTAGGCTCATTAACCTTTATGCATGGCTCAGTCACTACAGAAATACAGACTGCTACAATTAGTAGGAATGAACTACACACAGAATCCTATAATGGAATCTTATTCCAACCTGCAGAAATAATTTCAGCTTAACTCCTGATAGGGGCCACTATTTGTGTCACAATGCTCATGGGTGGATCAGCAGCAGAAGCAGTCAAACCAGGACTTCTGAATCAAAAACGTATGTCTCAGCAACTGAGCTAAAAGACTCATCTGTTAACTGAAAGGCAGTAGCTGCCTCTTGAACACTTATGTACTGCAGATCCCACTAGATGGGAAACAGAAAGCTACATTGAGTAGGTGTACTGAGTGGGATACAATTGCAAAAGAAGAGTCAAAGGACCAAACTCTGTTAGTTCAAATTCAGTCACTATGCAGCCCTACAGAAGTTATATGGATACGCTCAATACATTTGCACATGTGTAATTGAGGGCAGAATCTGGCACAGGAACAATGGTACACACTGGCTATTATTAGCTTTTAACAGCAACAAATGATATCCTGAACAATTTGTTCAAATTGGATATTAATCTTAAAATGAAAATCAAACTCTGAAACATTAGAGAAATTATATTCAATAAGGATTTAATTAAGACATAATTTATCATGCATTCACATTCAATATCCAATACAGAGAAAAACAGCTTGAAACAACAGTTAACCGAGTCATAATTACTCTTCTCATTTTAACCAACAATAAATAATTTTTGTCTCCAGTTTACGGACAATTCTCAGAACCACAGTGTAGTACCTAGAATTCTCTTGTAGTTAAAGACAAGAAAACAAAGGAAATCCGAACGGCAACAAATTCATTTTCAATTAATTTTTATTAGCTATCATTAAACACTATTAATTCACAAAAACGGCAATTAAAGTTCTGGCAGGATCTAATCTTCACAATGTCCAACCAATGGCAAGGAGATGCTGAATCAGAAAGAACTACAATTTGGACTACATTATGTGGCAAATTAGATAGTGAGCAGCATTATATTTAATTGGAATTTGCTAAAGGAAACATTAGCAACATGCACATCTGAAATACAGTATGATGAATCAAGAGGCAAGCTATTTTCCTTCTATAAAAGGACTAAGATTATTTGCTTAACAACTTTATTTGTATTCAGCTTCCTACCTCCCCCACAACAGCACCCATATCCCCTTTTAAAAAAGAACAATAAAAACAAATTAAGGCATCCAATGTAAATGTTGAAAGCAAAGGGGCTAGAAAGGAAAGTCACGCAAAAGTCCAACATAAGTGAAAATTAAAGGCATCTTTAAAACTATTATTTAATTAAAAGAAATTAAATTGGATGTATCTGAGAGGGAAGCAACATAGGGATCATCACAAAGTGTGAACATCGGCTGACTGCAATGGAAGAATTGTTGGAACAGTGGCATGTGAGAACAGATACCTCCCTGAACAAGACCAGAGGCTTACATGCCATAAAGGGCTTTAACAATAATAGTGCCAATTTCAAGTCAGATACTAAAGCATGAAAGATGAGAATACCACCATCATTATATCTCAAGCTATGAGCAATCATGCCATTCCATTTTGACAGAATATGTGTTGACAGCCTCGCAAGGAAGGAAAGAAAATAACCCAGGCTTGTAGTCATAAGGTCATGTGCTCCAGCTATCACAATGTCATTTTAGGGTAAAACTGCAAGCCACACAAAGTCATTAAAACCTATTTCTGTTGGACTTTCCCGTATTACCTTCATTGCAAGTCCCTTTCCCTTCCACATTTTCCACTTGGCAATGAGCAAATTGGGTCTGAAAGCCTCTGTGTGCGTGTGTGTTCACATGGGTGTATGTGTAGAGAGAGAGAGAGGTTTTCAGGTAAATTTTGTTCATTACCAAGTAAATACACTAATCCATCTCCATATTTGCGTGAATAATAGCTCCTCCCTAAATAGTTGTGTAAAATGTTTATAAAAAAGAGCTATAAACATGGTTGGATCCAAAAGCAAACTGGAATATTCACTGTGCTCTGTTCCCAAACTTGGTGCAGCTGCTGGCAGAAGCAAGTGAAGACAATTCCCCTAGAAACTGCCAGCAGCTTCATAGCTGTGTGCGTCTTCTTGTAACTAAAAAGAGTTAAGAGATTCTGGCACCATTCCTAGAATGAAGAAGTTATAGAGGGGGAATTTCCTCCCTGAGAACTGTAGGGCTTTTCTAGTGATAGTGAAAATTCAATTAGGGTGAAGGTTTGGAAGGATTAAAAAAATTTACTTTGAACCTGCTCTAATACCCACTATACCCAATAAAAACAAATCCAATGATTTTAGTGAGTAATGGATCAGGCTCAAAATGTGGGTTCCATTTTAGTATATTAAAAAGAATTCCCTTTCATATTATATTGGCTCTGGACCATTACAACTTCTTATAATAATATCATGCAGGATTAGGAATCATTATCCTTTGAAAGCTTCACATATCTCAGTGAAAATCTAACACACACTTTCACCAAAAGCTGCCTCTCTGAACCATTACTGAGTTTGAAGCTCATTTTAACTTATTTATTCATTTTAGCCTCCAAACCTACACAAAAAAAATGAAAGAAAGTTATATTCATAATATTTATCTACTGAACAATAGCAGCAGCCACCACAACCACCGATACACTTTTCAATAATAATTCCTAATTTAAAGAAAGAGTTTATCAGCACTGTTCAGGGTATTTTTTGACTTTGTGACAGCAATCAATTACGTCTAGAAATGAGTAGTATTGAAAGAATAAATGGCTTTCAGGTCAACTTAATGCTTCATTTTCACTGTGGCTTTTATCTGACTTGACAGGCTTGTATTGTATTAAACTCAGTACCTTTCCAATAAAAACACATGGATAACCATTAGTACCTTTGATAAAAATATTAATATAACTTGTATAACTTCTTAAGATAATTTGATGTTACTGAGTAATCATCTTACTGGCCTCTCTTAAGGCTGTATCTAATACCCAGCCCACACCAAAATTAACGTATTCCCACACAACATTCAGGCAGAAAAAAAGTTTTGACCCTTTCAAGCTTCATTCTCTACCCAGCATGATAACTCCATTCCAGATTAATCATTTTTCTAGTGGCCATCTATTCTTCCTGAATAAACATCCTCCAGTAATGAATTTTCTGCATCCTCTGTAGTCTAGTTTCTGCATGTATTAATCTCACAAAGTCAACATACTTATTCACCTTGGATAATAGTGTCACAAAATGTTTATACATCATGTTATAATACAAGGTGAACCAGCCCCCAATTTGTAGTCCTGCTACTCAAGAGCCAAAACATCCCAGCCTAGAGCTGGTTAGAAAGATCATTAAAGGCAAATCACCATCTCTCATATAATGGTTTATCTTGCTGTTAGTAACTATATATACTTAATCCACGAAGGAAAGCAATCCCATCACAAACAGAACCTCAATTACTCCACATTTGCAAAGTTCCTCCTGGGACTCAAGTTTCCACAATAAATACAAACCCAAACCTCCACTTTCATAATTCACTCAGAGGACCAGGTCCTCAGCTGACAAATAAAACGGATGTAAAATAGAACTCCTCAAAATTATGACCACTAAGGATCTGATCCAATGTATGTGTGCCAAATAAAGACATACATTAGATTCCTTTAATAACTCATTTGGCATTTGTTAACTGAGTGCCTTTAGGAGATACTATCACTCTTTAATGGAGTTTCCTCATACATATATTCTTTGATAGCACCTTTATATTATTATTGTATGTTTTACTCTATCATGCAGGCGCTCAGAATTTAGGATGGGCACCTCCAGCTACATTTTACAAATACGAAGAAATAAGAATAATACAAAAAAACTTTTAAAGAAAGGAATTTAATTAAAGGATACAAATGGTTACAATCACTTACATCACTTATAATTTCAGTGCATCTTCTGGCCAGTTCCATGTTTCTGTCCTCAATAACAGGCTTAAGGAACACCTATCAAAAAAAAAAAAAAAAGAAAGCATTTCAATATCACTAACCTAAAACAGTGAAAAAAGAAGCTCCTTTTCAGTTATCACTGCCACCACCTTTTCTTCTTCTTCCTCCTCTTCACTTTCATCCTCCTTGAAATCCTGAATGAGAGGCATTCTTTTTTAATATTTAAAAAATATAGTTAAAAATGTAAAAGGCCACTGCTACAGCAAACTGTTTATGTTCTACTACTTTTCTATGATGTAGGCTCCTCTTGTGTCCTTCACTAAGTTTAACCTTACCAAGGCTTCTTCCTTATTTAGACAACACTTGAAAGTCTTTATCAGAAAAATTCCATATGAGTGACCTAGAAGACATTACAGATGGCCTTGCTAACCGAGCTAGTGCTTTCTTACAGATAAAGTATAAGTAAACAATGCCTAAATGTCTAAGACACATTTAATTAAAGCACTGTAATTCAGTAACTATGCAAGGTAAATAATTTAATGAAATTAGCTGGCTCAAAAGGGTGACATGAATCCTAATATTATGGGGAAACCATTCATTTCTAGCTTTTAAGATATCTCAGACCCCAAATCAGCTGTCATAAAACTTCTTCACTCAGTCTAAATAAAGTTTGTACAGAAAAGGCACATATACCCTTACTTTTCTAATACAGAGAGTTTGGATAATTCACAAATGCTTTATTAAATGTAATTTTAGAATGTAATATATGTTATTTTTCATGCTCCTAACTGAAAAGGTTCCTTTCTGTAAGGATGAAATCTAAAATGTTCCTTTCAATACTCTTAAAATGCTTCCGGCCTCATATCAGCTAAAGTAATATTCATACATACACACATATCAACACTCTACAGAAGATAATATACCATGATCATACATATACAGGCAGTCCCCGAGTTACGCGGATCCGACTTACGTCTCCCCCAGCAGACCAGGGAGACGCGGAGCAAAGCCGCGGAGCACGCGGGCGGGACCGCGGCGCGTCTCGGCGGTCCCGCCACCCGCATCTCCCTGGTCTGCTGGGGGGGGGGGGAACTAGCTGCCCCTCCCCCGGTCTTCCTGGAATCAGCCGCTGATCAGTTTCAGCAGCGGCTAACTTGGGGACACCTGGGGTAGAGCAGCTGGGGTGCTGCTGGGTTGGTCCCCGCAGTGCTGAGGTGCGGCGCTGTGGGGACCTACCCGGCAGCGCCCCAGCTGCTCTGTCCCAGGCGTCCAAATTCAGCCGCTGTTGAAACTGATCAGCGGTTGATTCCAGGAAGCCCATGGCAGAGCAACTCTGCCTCGAGCTTCCTGTAGTCAGCCGCTGGACAGTTTCAGCAGCGGCTGAATCTGGACGCCAGTTCCGACTTACATACAAATTCAACTTAAGAACAAACCTACAGTCCCTATCTTGTACGTAACCCAGGGACTGCCTGTACTACAAGCTCCTTAAAGGCCAGTGAAAACATTCACAATTACAGACTGTCAAACTTTGTAAGTCTCAGAACAAGCCATTTCTGTATATAAATTCACTGAGCATAGATCTATTGGAATGGAAGCTGCCTTACTACTAGAATAAGTTATTTCACCTGCTGCTCTGTACGAATGTATTGTAAGGTTCAAAGTAAAAAAGCTAGCTGGATCGACAATCATTCTAAATGTGATTTTATTTTCCTAATGCTACCACATCACATCACAACTTCATACTGCATCCCACAAAGAGATTCCACTGCAGTGAAGTCCACATCCAGGCTTCATCTCACAGGTCTATGGTAGTAGATTTCTATGTGTTCTTGGAGCCGATATCCACATAGAAAACATAAGGAATGTGTAGTGTTTGAATGTAAACTTCCCAAAATATCAAAATGTAATTGTGGCTAACATATGCCTCCCATTTGTTGTTTGGAACAAGAGCACTTCATTAGAAAAAGACATGAAAACAAACAGAACATTTGTGCCTGAGCAAAAAGTATAAGGAGGTTTAGAGTTTTTTAATATTTGAGAAAAACAGACAACTCTCAACCTACTGTAACCCACAGACAGAAGGCACTTATGCATTAATGATAGACAAAGATTTCAAATGACTTATCTTGCTGTTTTAATAAATAAGCTCCTACATTTTGAGAGTGACAGTCATTGTGGGCACCCAAATTGACACCCATAAGGCCTGATTTCCTGAGTTGTTGTGCCGCCGCACCTCCCATTGACTTCTTTAGGAGCTGTAGGTACATACCGCATCTCTAAAAATTGGGCCCCAAAATCTCCAACAACAACAATTGGACAATTTTTGCTACAATGGTGAGGTCAAGCACTCACAACAACTGGTCACTTCTGCAAATGTCAGGCATAATAAATGTCTTTCTGGGCAACTATAGTAATTGCTACATGATGTGGCAATTCGCTTCTCTGGCATACAGAGCACTTGTTATAGACAACACAAATGCAGTACAGCGATGAGTTGTGGACTTCTGGTGTTGATACCAAGGTGAAATGTTGAAAAACGCAGATATCTCTGCATTATAAATAAAAGGCTCTGCACTTAAAATTTCCTTGTTCCTCCCCCAAATTCAATATATTTGGAAAGGAAAGATGTCAGAATAATTAAGGGAGAATGGAGGAGACTTTAATAAGCATAAAAGTAATTGCTACATTTTGCAAAACTTCAGCATGGGCTAAGCTGCTATTTTTCCACTGAAAGTCAACTGGTCAAAAATTACAAATTCTGAACTGCTTGGATTTTTAGATTACTTAAAAGATTAACACTACAAATAATGGATATTCAGAGTACTGATGCAACAGTAATTACATCTTAATTGTAATTTTCCTGCAATGTTTTCTCCATAGCAAGATCAGCTTTTTCCTTACCATAATCTAAGTTTTTATTTCTGAAAGAGCAGGATCAGCTATATTTTTTATAGGCCTCCTCCTCCCTCCAGCCCCCAGTTTATTCAAATATGCTGGACCTTTCAGCAGACTTCCATTAGCTACACATCTAGAGAATTGAGGGTTTCATAACTAATCATATTGAGGAAAGAAATGCCAAAATTACAATTTCTAAGGGAGTGGAAGGGAAATCATGCCACAACACACCACCACAGCTATAATACAATATAGAACGATTCAGTGTGGCAGTCTCCAGGGGACAGAAGGCACTAAGCAGACACTATCAGATGCCGGCCGTCCACCAAAAACACAGGGCTCTGCTGGATAATATGTCATCCAACAAAGTGACAGAGAAGCAACTCTTTTGGCAATAAGCTCACTGAAATACAGTCCCGAAAGAGATTTGTTAAGGAAAACTAAGACTACATACTTTAAAATGCAGGGGGTAGGAGTGTTAGTTTCCCTGGTGCCTGTCTATACACATGTACCCACCTGTGCCTCACCTTCTTCCTCCACCCCCTCTGCAAGGCCCACAACCATGACTTCCTCCATGACTTGCTCTCCCAAACCTTCACTTATTTTCATTTGACTGGGGATAAAGGGTTTGCAGTGTGGGAGGGGGCTCTGGGCTGAGCCTGGAGAAGGGTTTTGGATGGAGGATGGGGTACTGGCTCTGGAAGGGAATTTTGGTGAAGCAGGGGCTCGGGGCTAGGGGACAGGATTGGGGTGCAGAAGTGGTACGGACTCTGGAAGAGAGTTTAGATGTGGAAGGAAGTTCAGGGCTCAAGCGCGGGTTGGGTGCAGGAGAGGGTGAGGGTGCAGGCTCTGGCCAGGCGTTTACCTAATGGGGCTGATCAACAGTGCAGTGGGGCCAAGGAAAGCTTCCAGCTTGCCCTGTCCCCACATCACTCTCCAAAGCAGCCTTTCTGCAACCCCTAGGTAAGGGAGCTTGGTGGCTCTGCACGCTGCCCCTGCTTGAAGGCATTGCCCCCACAACTCCCGTTGGCTGTTGCTCCCAGAGCCATCACTTGGGGTAGGGGCAGTGCAGAGGCCCCCTGATCCCACCCCAAGGCAGCAGAGAGGGACACGCCAGCCACTTCTGAGAAGGTGGGACAGCTATCATTTATGTTGCTCTTATTTTTACTCTAGTAAAAAACAAACTAGAGGTACTACCATAAAATATAGCCTGAATTTACCCTAACACTGTTTACATCACTAAAATGATCATAAATGTTTTCCCACAGTTTAACCACAAAAACATGCACTTACCTTGTGCTCTAGTAAGAAAACACTTTCCAGTATAAATACTGCAATCCACAGCCAGCCTTTCCAGCATAAAATCATCATAGATTTAGTACAACCCAATTGCACAAGGATTTAAAAAGCAAGCAAAAAAAAAACAAACCCCTGACGCTTACTCTTACAGACGTATTATGTAGTGTGTACCACAATGTACTAAAGGAGAAGAAAAACAGATAAATTGAGTAATCAAGAACTTCAATTATTAGCATCAGTGTGGTATGACGCTACTTTGCCCTCTGTCAATTCTGATCTGCTGAAACATTTCATAGTGGGTTTGGGGTTTTTTACTAGTTATTTTGCAAAATGTCATCTGGAGTACAGGGTGTCCCCGCTATAAGTCACTCGGGTATACATCCATTCTGCACTAAAGTCGTTGATGCCTGTAGGAACTAATGCATTTCCCACTTTAAGTTGTTTTGCTATAAGTTCACGTTTTTTGGAACATATAGGCAAACAACACAGGAATGCAGGAGCAAGATTAGAAAGGCAAAGGCACAAAATGAGCTCAAACTAGCTACGGGAATAAAGGGAAACAAGAAGACGTTTTATAAATACATTAGAAGCAAGAGGAAGACCAAGGACAGGTTAGGCCCACCGGTCAGTGAGGAGGGAGAAACAGTAACAGGAAACTTGGAAATGGCAGCGATGCTTAATGATTTATTTGTTTTGGTCTTCACCAAGAAGTCTGAAGGAATGCCTAACATAGTGAATGCAAGTGGGAAGGGGGGAGGTTTAGAACATAAAAGAAAAAAAGAACAAGTTAAAAATCACTTAGAAATGTTAGATGCCTGCAAGTCACCAGAGCCTGATGAAATACATCCTAGAATACTCAAGGAGCTGATAGAGGAGGTATCTGAGCCTCTAGCTATCATCTTTGGAAAATCATGGGAGACAGGAGACATTCCAGAAGACTGGAAAAGGGCAAATATAGTGCCCATATATAAAAAGGGAAATAAGAACAACCCAGGAAACTACAGACCAGTTAGTTTAACTTCTGTGCCAGGAAAGATAATGGAGCAAGTAATTAAGGAAATCACCTGTAAACTCTTGGAAGGTAGCAAGATGATAGGGAACAGCCAGCATGGATT